TACTATACTAGTAGGATGTTCTTTTAATTAATGAAGCTATTTACAACATATTTTAATATTTTGATCATCTCTGGTCAATAGCAGTCTCAGAATTTTCTTGGCTAATCTCACAGCTTTGTATTTCATGTGAACTTAGAATCAAATTTCTTAATCGCATTAAAATTTTTATTGGGTTACAGAACATTTGTAGATTTACTTGGAAGAATTGATATCTTAAAAATAATGACTGTTTCTGTGCAAGGGTGGGATATGTTGCTTCATTTACTCATGCTTTTTATTTATTGTTTTTAGAGACAGGGTCTCACTATGTTGCCCAGGTTGGTCATGAACTCCTGGGCTTACGTGATCCTCCTACCTCCACCTCCTGAGTAAATGGGATCAGCACTGAGTCACTGAGTCACTGAGCCTGGCTTATTCAAGCCTTAGTTTTATGTTTTTTTCATAGAGTTTTACAGTTTCCATCCCAGAGATCTTGCATATTTCTCACTATATGTATCCCTAAATGTTTTCTTCTGACGCTATTGTGAAAGGGATCTTTTCTTGATATATATTTTCTTAGCTCGTTTTTTGATAGGATAGCTATTGATTTTTTTATATACTACTTTTGTAACTGGCTACTGTACTTATCTTTTACTGTTTCTTATGGTATTTCAGTTGTTCTCTTGGGTTTTCTGTGTATACAACTTTATAATGTGCAAACAATCATAATCTAGTTCCCTCTTTACCTACGTTTATGCCTCTTGATTCATATTACCATTTACTACTACAGTATAGGACCACCAGGAGCTTATATAGGGTACCCATGCCTGCTGAGGAATTGCAAAGAGGTGTTCCTGCCTCCTCATCTGTTAGATAAAGGCAGCTCTTCTTAGTGGACCAATTAGTTAAAAGTACCCAGCTGCACAAACCAATTAGATAAGGGTACCCCTGAGTGGACCTTTCAGCCAGCAGATCCAGCCTTAGGCCAGGGTAAGTGGAGCATAGACTAGACCTCAGCCCTGACTCTCAATTCTCATAGCCAGGTGCCCTTGTGTAGGGAAAAGCCCTCATAACTGGACACAATGGCTCTGGGTTACCATTTCCAGAACGGTGCTAGAAAATAATATTGCTGCTGACATTCTAATCTTGGTTTTGTCTTGTGAATGCTTCTGTAGTCACCAGAAAATATTTTTGCTTTTGATTTGAGAAATGTGTTTTTAGCACATTATAGATCATTTTGTTTCTGAGGATTTTTTTTTAAGTATCTAAGAATAAATGGAAAATTGTATCAAATGCTTTGGTAATTTATTGACATGATTATGGTTTCATTCCTTTGACCAAATGATATAATAAATTATACTAATAGAAATCATAAGCCGGGCGCGGTGGCTCAAGCCTGTAATCCCAGCACTTTGGGAGGCCAAGGCGGGTGGATCACGAGGTCAAGAGATCAAGACCATCCTGGTCAACATGGTGAAACCCCGTCTCTACTAAAAATACAAAAAATTAGCTGGGCATGGTGGCGCGTGCCTGTAGTCCCAGCTGCTCAGGAGGCTGAGGTAGGAGAATTGCCTGAACCCAGGAGGTGGAGGTTGCGGTGAGCCGAGATCGCGCCATTGCACTCCAGCCTGGGTAACAAGAG